CAAAATGTGTTGTTTAGGTATGTAAACTGTATAAGTCGATAAACATCAACAGAATCAAGTTTGACAAATATTCTCCATAATTGTAACCGGCTGTCAACATGTCGTTGCATGTATAAAGGGAGTTGTGTGTTGCTTTCCGTTCGATTGGCATATTCGATTTCAGACTGATTCAAATATACATAAAAACAAAGGCAACACAATTAATCCACCAAACTACACCATTACTTTAAGATTTTAACTTTCCATTCTCAATGTATTTCGACTATGTTTCAGTTCTGTATGAATTCGTTTAATTTAGATAAATTGAAATGATCTAGCTGGTTACATATGCCGTCTACTGTGAACAGAATCAAGTTTGACAAATATTCTTCCATAATTGTAACCGGATGTCAACATGTCGTTACATGTATAAAAGGGAGTTGTGTGTATTTCTTTCCGTTCGATTGACATTTTCGATTTCAGACTGATTCAAATATATACTCTCCCAAAAATGAAACGCATATATGAATTTCAACTGTGTTTTTATGTTTATTTTGAAACATCTTGTAGGCTTTATGAGTCAATGAAATATAGCGAACTTGCACACTGGGAATGCAGACTTATCTGTCTTTGGTACCAACTCGAGGAAAGTCAGTTTGAGTGTCACATGGAGACGTGTGGTGGCGCTGAAGTCAATACCTCGTGTGACCACCGTGGGCATCCAGAACTGCACGGCATCGCCTCGGCATCGAACGAATAAGTCTCAGAATCTCGTGTTGCCCAATCGCAGCCCACTCTGCCTGTAGTGCCTGTGCGAGTTGCTGAAGTGTCTGGGGCTGAGGGTTACGGCATCACACCCGTCCGTCCAGGGCATCCCACAGATGTTCGATCGGGTTTCAGTCCGGTGATCTTGAGGGCCAGGGGGGCACAATGATGTTGTGGTTCTGAAGAAAGTCTCTAGTGTGACGTGCTGTGTGGGGCCTGGCATTGTCCTGTTGAAACAACTCCCTCTGGCGATCAATGACTGGAAGGAGGTGTGGGCGTAGGATTTCGTCACAGTACCGTTGAGCTGTCAGGTTGCCCTGGATCATCACCAAATCACTTCTCCTACGGCAGGTGATCGCTACCCACATCATAACACTTCCCCGGCCAAATCTGTCCACCTGGCGAACGCAAGCTTCGGCGAAACGTCCACGTCCACGTCTGTACATCCGCATTCTTCCATCGCGTCATTCCAATAGAAATCGTGATTCATCACTGAACCAGATTCTGCGCCAATTCGGTAGGTTCCAGGCCTGAACGTTGGTGCACCATTAAACTCGATGTCGATGATGTTGTAGTCGAAGCACAAGGCCAAAATAAGGTCTTCTTGCACTTAAACCAGCCTCTCTCAACCTGTTCCTGACGGTCTGTGCAGAAAGCCTCCTCAATCCGGGTATTTGTCGAGCGGTACTGGTCGCCGTAGCTGTTCGATACCGCAGGTGATGTACCCGGATGTAGCGATCCTGCGCCGCAGTGGTCGCTCGAGGTCGCCCACTACGAGGGGCATCTGCTACCGCATTCTGCCGGCGATATCTCTCCCAGAGCCGTGAAATGGTGCTTTGGTGAACATTCCTGCGTCGGGCAACTGCTCGTTGAGACTGGCCAGCTTCAAGCAAACCAATGGCGATATGACGGTTGGCTTCACTTAGACGGGGCATTTTGCATTCGTCAACAATATTCCAAATACAGTGAATAATCGACAGACAGCGATCAGCCTTTTATACCCATCATTGAGACTATCTGATCCCCAACTTTCAAGTGCATTGCATGTGAATTGTGTATTCTGTGACACTACACGCCGAAATTGAAAATCATGCTGTTAAATATGGGTATTTTACGGATGGTGCGTTTTGTTGTGATGTTTCAAAACATAAACACCATAGGACTCATAAAGAGAGCAAAACCTTTTGTAAAATGAATCACGTTTTAATTCATTGCTACATGAAATTGTTATTTTCATGATGCGTTTCCTTTTTTGGGAGAGTATACATAAAAACAAAGGCAACACAATTAATTCACCAAACTACATCATTACTAGATTTTAACTTTCCATTCCCAATGTATTTCGACTATGTGATGTGAAATTATGTGAACTGTTTCAGTTCTGTGTGAATTTGTTTAATTTAGATAAATTGAAATGATCCAGGTTACATATGAATTAAAATTGTCATTTGTTGTTAAATACGTGTTGCTTATGACCTCTCCCTTTTGTTCGTAGACAAATACCCCAACCTGGCCGCCTACTGTGAACGTATGAAGGAAACGTTCTGGCCTGACTGGGACCAGTGCATCACACACGGTGGAACAAGGGAGGCAACCAAGTAGTAACTTTTTCCAGAGAGCTGTAATGGCAGTTTTGGTATAATATAAATCATTTGCTTGTTCTTCCAAAGTCTGTTGATATACTTTGGTTGTGAAAGGAGTTCAGATTCTCTTTCGTGCACCAGTGAGTTAGTGTCTTACCTTGATTGCGTGCGTGCGTGCGTGTGTGTTGAGGGCTAAGAGAAGTCGGTAGTTCTGAGACTGGTCGGGCTTCTAAACGTACTTCAATTATATAATGTGGCCATTCTTTTGTCCCTCACAATAAAAATTAAATATTACCTCAAGCAACGCTACACGTACTCCATCTTCTTGGCGTGTCAGTAATGTATATTGTGTGTCTTTGAAATGGGAATAGCTTTGTTTAAAATAAAATTGTATTATGCTGTTCTTTGTTCTTAGTTGTGTTATTCCTGGTTGTCGAAAACCACAGTGGACTACATTATTATATAGTTATCATTTATGTTTTGTTTAACGCCGAAAACATTAACTCTCCAACTATATGATAATAGTATAATCGAGTAAGGTCGAACATACACGTGATTGATACGATGAGCAATGTCATTAGCCAAATCACAGCGTCCATCCGATCCATAAAAGGTCAAGGTCGGGTCTTTTTCACACGACTGTTCCCTGTACCGAAGTGGCCTTGACCATTGAAGTCAAGCTTGGACGTGATCATTTCCCTGTAGTTATAATCGCGGATGACACGACCCACATAAGCTCAAGCAGTTAGTACGCTTGTCAACTGAGGCTGGCATACAATGGAAGAAAAGACTGTGTCGAACCCGCACCCTCAGACCTGCCTGACACCTCGGATGGGACTCAACCCAACAAAATTACTAGAATCTGTATTTTACTGAGAAAATGTAATCCCAAGCTCCTATGTTACATTTGACCACTTTCTAAATGGCATTGTGTATTCATGACAGTAATACAATGAAAACAATGATCGTGCAACGACATTTAACCATATCTGACCTATACTAACGCTTAGTCCCTGAATATATACTATCCAAAAAAAGAAACGCATAGGCGTTTTGCATTTTCAAAAATCTATTAATTACCTATTGTGTTCAAGCAATCGTCAAAATATGTAATAAAAGTGTTTACCTGAAAACTTTACCTGAAAATATTGATTTTGATGAGAATTCTTACAAGGATTAAATAGGCATCGCCACAACGCAACAGAAATCACCTTCCAGTTGAAATTGAGCAGCAAAGAACATGCACTGTCTGGCTATAAAAATACAGATTACTTTCGGAAATTGGCATTCGTTTTGAGTGAGTTTCAAGGTCAAATCACTACGCCACGTCTTGACGCTGCGACACGGAAAATCGCCATTGAAAGAATGCACGCTGGATATTACCAATCTTCTGTTGCCAGGCGTCTGAATGTTAGTCTGAGCACGATATCACGGCTCGTAGCTCCTTACAACCAAACAGGTATAACAAATGACCGTCCCCGTACAGGCAGACCTCGAGTCACCACTGCCGCCCAAGATCGGTACATCCTGGTACTACATTTGTGTGATCGTACTGCCACGGGTGAGAGCACAGCAGCCAGGGTGCCTGGATCATAACCGGTCAAACTGTACAGAACAGGTTCAGAACAGGTCTGAGAGCCAGGAGACCCGACGTCGGGACCGTGCTACGTCGTCACCATCGCGCTCAACGTCTCCGTTATCTAAAAGTATCCACTTGGTTGTATAGACATTACCTTCTTCTAAACTGATGTCAAAATTCATGTACTAAAGTCTATTTGTGGACGAGTTATACATGTTTGAAAATACAACATTTTCTCAACAGATTTCTGACCTATGCGTTTCTTTTGGGGGGATAGTATATATCATTTAGTCAGACACAAATACTTCGTTCTAAATTGTATAGGAGCCCCAGTGAAAAGAGAAATTCAGAACCTGAGGAAATCTAGACTTACTTTGAAACAAAGGAGCTACAGGCTCTTTCTGACTTCATGGGTAAATCAAGCCCACAGGGGCGTGTCACGCTTAGAAACAGCGTTAGAAAGACATATAGGCTTACTGTCGAGGAATATGATGTTGTAGATCCTCAATCAATGATTTGTAGATGTTGTTAGACCCGTGGAATGGCGCTGCCGATCGAATCTAGCCCTACATAGGTGCTGTCAACGTGGCTGGAATTAAAAAACGAATTTAAAAGGTGAGTTTTCGCTGTCTTGGGTGATCCATGATTTTGGCTTGGAATTGCGGAGGTAGCTGTTTTCGGTGAGTCGTGGCGTATAACTTTTGAAATAATGATCCGATTGTGACCACTTAGAGCTCATTTTGTAGGGAAATCGTATCGCTTTTGATCCGTAGGCCTCGACGGGGCCTTAAAAATAGTTTACGTGGTGAAATCTAACTTAGATTGAGGAGGGGGTGGTTCCGTCGTTACATCCCTTTCCTTTTATATAGTACTAGGGTAGGGTCTATATACCTATATGTCTTTCTAACGCTGTTTCTAAGCGTGACACGCCTCTATGCTTTGCAAAAGAGCAGTGGGCGAGGCAGAAAGGAAAATAATGCGAATCAGACACCCCACACAACGAAAGGCCAGATAGACTGACAACCAACCCGATCCAACAGACAGTCCAATTCGCTTATCACTTATGCCCCTTTTCAGCATGACCTTGAATTACCGATAATAAGGGTGGGTGTAATTTAGGTCGGTCTGTTTGACTCCTCGTAGGCTCACTGACATACCCAGGAAACGATGAAGAGTATCATGGATACCTTCACAGACCTGGACACATCCCAGAAAGTACTGTATGTTTTCGGAGGTGCTGTTGTAGCCATTGTATCGGTCGTCGGCCTGAGGAAGCTATGTTTCAGGTAGGTTATCAAGTGTCAATATCTAGTCAAGAGATACACAGTTTATATTTCTCCAAACAAACAGGTGACCCAGCTGACGCTCTGCCAAGCGTCGTTCAGAGTTTCGTCGAATGTGGGTTCAAGTATCGGTTCGCCCTTCTATCTGGGCACCATACCAATGCTCAAAGGTTCCGCCAAAATGTTACATGACTGAGACCTATATTTCTGGCTTTCCTCCGACATAAAGCTGTCCCGCATAAAGTCGTCATTTGACCACACTGCTGAAACTGGAGGTAAACCTAATTCACTCACGCACCAAAACAAAACGAGAGACCGAGTGAGTTTAGTTTTACGCCGCTTTTAGCAATATTCCAGCAATATCACAACCGGGGACACCAGAAATGGTTAAGGAATGGTTTCACACATTACACTCAAGTGGGGAATCGAGCCCGGGTTCTCAGTGTGACAAACGAACGCTTTAACCGCCAGGCTACCCGATCGAAACCCAATCAAAACGAGGTGAGGTGAAACTGGGTTTTACCTCGTGCTTGAGAATATATCGCTCATATGATGACGTGCATGCGCGTGTATGTGTATGTGCGGCTGCTTGTACTAGCCCAGACTTAAGCTGGTTTCATAGTGCTAGCCCACTGAGATACCATGCCGCAGTGAAGCATGAATACCCCACTCAGACACATTATACTGACTCCGAGCCGACCAGTCCTTGTTGTACCCATTAATGACGAGCGCCAGGCAGGGAGCAACAAGTACCATATTTTAACGTCTTTTGATATAACACGGTCGGGGATCGAACCCACGACCTTCTGCTCTACGGGCGGACACTCTAACCACTACGCCACGGGGGCGGTCCAATCAAAACGAAATTCTGGAGAGACCATAATAATAATGAGATGGCGTCCTGGATGTGATTGTTCTATTTAATGAAGAATTTTTATTTTCTATTCAAAAGGCCTATCTATATTCTCAGTATTCCGTATAGCAATCAGTACTTTTAGGTCCTTAAACTGACGAAGATGTGCATGTGAATGTTTTGACCTCTGCCCAGCAGTAGTTCAGGTCGCTTTTGTATATTGTCTTTCTATTTATTTCATGGTGTTAAAAGACTCAGTAGTTGGATCAAAATAGAAACAGTTTCACTGTAAATAATACTGGAATGCATGATCTATTTCGTTGTTCTATTGTACAATAAACAGTCACGAGTCACATATCGGCCTTAAAAACACGGAATTTATACAGTGTGTGTCATACAATGACTGGATTACTACACTGTAAGTTTATATCAGCAACAAGTGAGAACAATCAGCTGCTCCTTGATCTATTACGATATTTCAATAGAGAGAAAAGGGCAAAGAAGGACTATCCTCGAGATACGGTGATCCTTCATCAGGCCGGTAGAGCACACTATGCCCCAAGCATGACGCCATTTGCGGTAAAGTTGGAGACCTACCTCCGGATTGCCAAAATACCCTTCCAGGTAGGTGAGAGAGTGAGTCAATGAGTGTTGTTCCATGATCTAGTTCGCAATATTCTCTTTGTGTCATGACATATCTTAATCTGGTCCTAGAAAGCAAGCTGTTGGCTACTTTAGGAACGATTCACATCTATGTTGCTCAAAATACAGATTCAGGTGAATCATCAACTATAGCCAAAACCCTGACTCGTCATTCTGATCCTAAGCAATTTATGTCTGTTTTCTATTATGGAATTCCTATGTTATTCTATATTTAGTCTGTGATCATCCACGCAGAACGTCCATGGAAGACAACGTTCATCAAAGGGCAAATTTCCTTGGATTGAGTATAATGGACTGGAGGTAGCGGACTCATCACTGTGCATCAAATTCCTCAACAAGAAGCTTGGGGTGGACCTCAACAGGAACCTCAGTCCTGCTGACAGAGGAGTAGTTCAGGCAATGCAGACCATGGTGGAGGATCATCTATACTGGTGAGAAACAGTCAGTTGGTGCCATTTAACATTTATCTGCCTGTCCATCGTAACCATGATGCCAACACCCGGATGGCTTCAATAATCTGTCTCCGCTGTCTTCAAGATTGTTTTGTTTGTTGTGTCAACAATATTCCAGCTATATGACAGCGGTCAGTTGTGTATAATCGTGTCAGAACCAGATAATCCAGTCATTGACATCGATCTAGGAATCTGGGATGCGATGATCATGACATGTATCAACAAACTACCGTTATTCCCCCCTTAGAACCACATAAGTTGTGAAGTGGAAGGAGCGTGTATGTATCGAACCCTTAACCGTGCCATACCAAAAGACGTGAATCCATAGGATGTTTTGTAACTTTTGACTCTTGTTCTGCTTTGCTGTATGAAACAAGAACATGTTCAACATGTTCACGTCTCTAAGATAAGCTGCTGGCACTTTTCATCATATTTCACTTACATCTACGTGCACGAGTGAGTGAGTTTAGTTTTACGCCGCACTCAGCAATATTCCAGCTATATGGCGGCGGTCTGTGAATAATCGTGCCTGGACCAGACAATCCAGTGATCAACAACATTAACATCGATCTACGCAGTTGGGATACGATGACATGTGTCAACCAAGTCAGCGAGCCTGACCACCCGATCCCGTTAGTCGCCTCTTACGACAAGCATGGGTTGTCGAAGATTTATTCCAGCCCGGATCTTCACAGGTCTCTACTGGCATGAATAGAGAATGAGTAGTACGTTTGTTTCAGGTTCCTTATCCTCTTCCGATGGCAATATGACAACGACAAATCTTTCATGGTGAATGCTTTTAAAATAGGCAAGTTTATGTTTTGGATGATTCAACGGCGTTATAAAAAGCAAACATGGAGTCAAGGCTTGGGACGACACACAGAAGAGGAGGCAACAGAAATGTTTAAGAAGGATCTACAATCCCTGTCGGACTTCATAGGTATGCAGAAGTTTTAAGTTATTGTGAACTGAATTATATACTGAGACGTTAAATATGTTTTTTGAGCAGCGAGGGTAGGTTCTGATGGACCAAACTATAAACTTCACACTTGAAACCGACAATAGCAATACAAACGATGGGAACTGGATTGCATAACTGAAGTTGGAAAATATTGCATGACGTTCAATAACTTTCTCCATAAACGTTGAACAGGATGAAACTGCATCCTGAAATTGATGAAATTTAGCACTTGTCATGGGGTTTGTTTGGTTTCAACATACTCATCAGTCCACACACGCTGGTTGTTCCAGGGACTAAGAAGTTCCTGATGGGTGACGAGCCCTGCGAGGCGGACTGTGCGGTGTTCGGTCAGCTGTCAGAGTTCTACTGGCAGTTCATGGGCACTGGACACAAGGACATCATCAGGGGCAAGAACCTTTTGTTGCCTTTTAAGTTATCATTTCTACCTCACGGGTTTGAAAGCATTTCTATCCCCACAACCACCCTCACCCCAATTCTCAAGTAAAACCATAACAAAGTTTATGCATAGTTTCTCTTTAGAATTAAATAGTTGCGTCAGTTTTACTTGACGTGTAAAATATTCGTTGAGAATGACCAGTAATCCCTCTCACAGAACCAGTTACACGATCGTGGGTTTGATTGGAGTTAACTGAAGAAATGAGTCGCAAATCAAATCAGCCTTCCTCCAAGCACGAATTTTGTGCGAACCCTACAATTGTCTCACACTATGAAGACCAGATGTGCGACCAAGCTATTGTGCATGCAACACGTGAAATAGTGCCGTTTTTGCGATGCAATCTAAGCTCACATTGGTCGATGAAGACGCGTTTTTCCTTTCGTGAACCAGGCTGTGTACAAAATTAGTACAAATCGAAGTCTCCAATGGACAGGTGATGAGGCATTAACGTGTAATTGAAACCTGTTCAGCTTTGATAGTGTATTAGATTTATATATGAATATTCACACGTTGACGTCATGAACATCGCGTTACAGGTAATTAAGGTAAGGTAATTAAGATTCTGTTTATGCATACATTAAAGTGTGTATGCTGTACCAATCTCTAAACATCGCAGGGTACTGATATTAAAAGGGTACATAATGTACTCCCAGCTTTCACAATTGTATTTACAAAAGGTGCTGTATAGGTGTTTTAAACGTATGATCAGCCTATACCGTATGTATGCGTGAAAATGAACATAAACAGAATCGAGTATGACAAATATTTCTCCTAACCGGCTGTCAACATATCTTACATGTATAAAAATATTATTGTATTTCTTTCCGTTGGATTGTTGGCAACTAAATTAATCCACCAAATTATGTTTCATTACATTGAGATTTTAACGTTCCAGTCACAATGTATTTTGACTATGTGATGTGATATTATGTGAACAGGTTCAGTTCTATATCAATTTATTTAACTCAGATCAAACTTCAAATAATCTAGTTTTCATGTGAATTGACGTTATCATTTGTTGGTAAATACGTGTTGCTTATGAGCTTTCCTTTTTCCGTAGACAAATACCCCAACCTGGCCGCCTACTGTGAACGTATGAAGGAAACGTTCTGGCCCGACTGGGACCAGTGCATCACACACGGTGGAACAAGGGAGGCAACCAAGTAGTAACACTTTTCCACAGGGCTGTAATGGCAGTTTTGGCATTATATATGTTTCGTAATTATGTAAAGCTCTGCCCAAATTAGGTATTATCACTTTTTTATTACCCCCAAACTGAATTTGTGCCTGTTCCTTCAACGTCTATTGTTATACTGTGGGAAAGGAGTTCATATTCTTTTTCGTGCATCAGTGAGTGAGTGAGTTTGTGAGTTACTTGCTTGCTGGGTTGATTGATTGGTTGATTGCTTACGTACGTGCTTGCTTGTGGAGGGCTAAGAAATAGAGATTAACATTTATTTCACGAGGGACATTTTTCCCGTAATCACTCGTACCTGGTGGGTTATTCTATTTATTACCCATTCTGTAATTCGACCGAGAAACCAGTATTTATGAACTCAAAGCCGCATCTCCTTATACATGTAAGTGTTTACAAGTAAATCAACTTATCTGTATTAATGCGCGAATGAAACCAAACTGCTCAAGCTTAATGGAATCGCATTCCAACCACAATATAGTACTTTAGAAAACGTTATGAAAAACAACACAATTCAACAGTTTCCAAATTCGTGTGATGGTGAGTTTATAAACCAAACCACCTTGTAAAGCTTAAGTTTATTTTCAACGAGTACAATCACATATATAATGTTTAGTCGTAGATCGCAAATGTGTCGATCAAGCCTGCTTGTGTCAGAAAGTAGGTGACTGTTGTTGGATACAAAACAGCGAAAACCTGTCAATTTTTGTTAACGTTAACTTATAAAACAGTGAAAATCTGCAAGAGAACAAAAAACGCAGGAATGATGAACGTTCTTTAAGAGACGATACACAATTATGACCGTTTGTCAACATTTTGCTGAAACGGACTGTGACCTAGTTTTGGCTCGCGTCAGTGTCCTTGTCAGGAACGATAACTCCAAACAGTCAAAACGTTTTCAATGTCATGGTCAAAAACAGGAACAAACTCTTTCAAAAGTTTTGTTTTCGATTGGGAGGTAAAAAATCATCTTGCAGTATGTCATTTGTGACACTCCCCGGTAAGTAGGACGATATGCCGACTCACTCAATATCGTTTCCCGCAACACTTTCAGTCTGTTCAATACCTTGCGACTTCCATTTCACCATGTTCAGCGTTTATCACATACACGCGAAAGGAATTTAGCGGTTGCATTATTCTCACTACAAGTCCAGTAATGTATCCGTCCTTGACCTTGACGTTGATTGCACTGGGTAGCCATGTTTGTTTGAAATACGATTAGGCATGTTTTTTTATGAAAAACATGTTGTGATGATAAAGACACCATATTGAAATGAAGCATTAAATAAGCACCAAAATCGGAACCCTGTATCTTTTTTTTGTTTGGTTCCATTTTAGAATCTTAAATTAGTGCGATTACAGCACGGTCGATTCATCAATGAATCGTAGTGGTGTGAAAGTCGTTCCGACATCCAATGAAAAGGTACAAATATACGATCGACCAATCAACGTCGAAAATCACTTAATTGTACACTGTGCAAATATCAAAAAGATATTACACGGGATCTCCTCAACCGTATGGGTAATGAAAGTCGGTAGCATTGCAAATGGTCGGGCTGCTGACTGTACTTCAGTTATATCAATGTTGCCATTCTTGTGTCCCTCACTATCAATACTAACGCAGCGTTACACATATTCATTCACCAATCTATGCTGTCTGTCTTTGAAATGTGATTAGCTTCGTTTAGGACAGAAATTTATTATAACGTTCTCAGTTCTTATTTGTGCTTACCCGTGAAGGTCCGGGTTAGAATTTACCTTCAGTAATCCATGCTTGTCGTATGAGGCGACTAGGGATCGGGTGGCCAGGCTCGCTGTCATGGTTGACATATGTCATCGGTTCCCAATTGCGCAGATCGATGCTCATGCTGTTGATCACTGGATTGTCTGGTCCAGACTCGACTATTTACAGACCGCCGCCATATAGCTGGAATATTGCTGAGTGCGGCGTAAAACTAAACTCACTTACACCCTCACTCTTATTTGTGCTATTCCTGCGTGCTGAAAACAACAGTGAGCTTCAGCCTGTTTGGGTCAAAATGATACCGATGAATCACAATCTAACCCCAAATGAGTTCATGATCAATGTAATGAAAACATCAGAGCAACTCTGGAAAAAAGTTGCTTAACGTTTGTCTCCAAAATTAAAAGTTACTTAACAAACTCTCATCATTTTGTTTTGATTTTCCTAATGAGTTTTATGAGGGTAAAGTAACAGTCGTACTGTTGCAGGAACAGATTGATTCATCGGTACCCAAACAGACTATACACTGTTATCGAGATACTATATGTTTTTGTTTAACGCCGCACGTATTTATACTCCAACTACATGACGACGGGTGGTGAATAAGTCAAGTAAGGTGAGGTGAGGTGAAATGGAGTTTGAGAACTTAAGAATATTTCGCTCATATGACGACGTGCATGCGTGTCATGTGTGGCTGCTTGTACTAGCCCAGACTTAAGCTGGTTTTATAGTGCTGGCTCACTGAGATACCATGCCGCAGTTACGCATGTATACCCCACTCAGACACATTATACAGCCGACCAGTCCTTGCTGTACCCAATAATGCCGAGCGCCAGGCAGGGAGCAACAAGTACCATATTTTAACGTATTTTGGTATTACGCGGCCGGGGATCGAACCTGCGACCTTCCGCTCTCCGGGCGGACGCTCTAACCACTACACCATGGATACGGTCAAATCAAGTAAGGAGCAAATATACAAGTGATTGATGTTATGAATAACACCCTGAACCACCAGCCCGTTAAAGGTCAAGGTCGGGTCTTTTTCACATGACTGTTCCTTGTGTATATAAACGAAGTTATAAGTCGCCTTGACCATCGAAGTCAGGGTGTTAAACTTGGATATAACGAAGTTATGCTTGTGGATGACACCTTGACCATCGAAGTCAGGGTGTTAAATTTGGATGTGATCATTTCACAGACAGAAGTTATGCTTCTGAATGACACGACCCTCATAAGCTCAAGCAGTGGGTAAAGCAGCGGCCGCACTAATTGCAAGTTAATATGCTTGCCAACTGAGGCTGACATACAATGCAAGAAAAGACTGTGTGTTGAAGTTTAACATCTGCCTTACTCTGAAGGTGTGGGTTCGAATCCCGGATGGGACTCAACCCAACATAATTACTAGAATCAGGCATCGCCAGCACACAAAGCCAGCTGTCTAACCCACTCAGCCACAGCGGCGTTTGAGTTCGAATCTCGGATGGACTCAACCCAATAAACGTTCTGGAATTTGTACTTTACTTAGAAAGTGTCTTAGATAACTAATTAAAGTATTTGTACTCAGTGTAGGGGAGAAACAGGCGATCGTGTCGTAACATTGTCTACCTGGCTGATTGTGTACAATGGTTTGTTCCGTCATTGCCAGTGGTTCAACACACAAGCTGACTCAGCACCTCATGCTATTGATCACCGGATCGTCTGATCCAGACTCGATTATTTACAGACCGCCGTCATATAGCTGGAATATTGCTGAGTGCGGCGCAAAACTAAACTCACTCACTCAATAAATCAGCAATCTTGCCTTAAGTTCTGCTAAAATATATAATGCTTGTCATAAAAAGTGAGTGAGCATTGTTTAACGCCGCTTTGATAAGTATTTCTGTAATTTCGGACAACAGCTCGAAATCAGACAGGTTTCAGATTTAAGTGAGTGATTGTGTAAGGTTTTATGCCGCTTTTAGCAATATTCCAGCAATATCACGGCGGGGGATGGGCTTCACACATTTTACCCATGTGGGAATCGAACCCGGGCCTTCGGCGTAACGAGTGAACGCTTTAATCACTAGGCTACCCCAACGCCCTAAGATTTAAGTACTTTGATGAAGTTCAGTAGGATAGGTAGAGCTCTGACAAACCTAGGAACATCATCAGTACGAATCGTCGGTCGTAAATCACGATCATAGGATTGTGGTACGTTCAGGGGACGCAACTCTGCGCATCGAAATCCAAGGTGTCTGGTTACAGCTTGCCCCTTAATCGAATTTACACCACCCCTTCAGCCGCCGACGATTGTAGAACAAGTTTAGCCGAAATTTGAAGGAACAAATATACTACGTTTAAAAATCGGGTAAGCAAAAATTTAACTTTGAAAGTTTTGGGACTTACGTACTATCTCAGGAGGATCGAAAAGAGTGACCGGCGTTAAATACAACAGATATACGAAGGGTTTGTTCCCCGTTCTCAAATCACATTGATTTATCACAGGTACATACAATGAAGACACATGAAATAACTTCTAAGCCTGGTTTACATTTTGAGAAAAGATAAATATATTGATACTGGCACTTTTATTCCAGAATCATTTGGAATTTATAAAGAAAAGGATCAGTACTATTTTTGCGCCTGCGTCGATTAACTTATACGACATGCGCCCTATTGTAAAATGGCAGCAATGGGAAGTTATCGACATGTCAATATAATTGACTGAAGTCAAGAATATTACACTTGAAAATGCCACAAGTTGACATCACATTACATGAAGGACCAGCACAGTCGGATCGTATATTTAGTTCTAAAGGATAATTTCTATTAAACTTTGACATCTATAGAACAAAAGTTTAGTTTAAGATAACTTATATACAGAACTTTAACCTAAATTCGTGGATAACCTTGATTCATGGATCGTGGAAATTATCATGCTAGCTCGTAAATTAAGTCTCGACTGACGTCAAGAAGCGGTACTTTTGATGTACATACAATGCCACGAAATCTCTGCATTACACGCAAGTACACTAGATATAATTGTCCAACACTGAGATAAATAGCCCCAGATCACTAATACTACTATTACCAAATTCTATTTTTACAAAATGTCAAGTAAAAAAGAAACTGTTAGCTCCAACCTTCTCACTTCTCGTTGTCTGCTTTCCTTGGTGTCAATGCTTACTGCAGTGGTATAAAGTTACCGACTATGTAATCCACGAAACAAGGTGACGTCACATTTTGTGGGCACATGAATAGGTGATGATTGCAAATGGCTTCTGTAAACAAAGGTTTTATTCACGAGTGGAATATTAGGCATTTTCAATTTGCTGAATCAGTGAATAGAATAATCAGTGCGTATACAAAATGAAATCATGCATTTAAAATATGAATTCCACCGCACTTCCCTTATATCCACGAATCAAGGTTACACGAGTGTAACTAATCTTTTATACATATCCAGAAATGCATTTCATATATCAATACTTCGTTTAAGCTATCATTTATTCAATGAGAGTTATGGTTTATTAAATTCAAGACATCTTCGATTCTCACCGTTACTGATATTTACAATCAAATAAAACCTATCATTAGTGATCTTGAAAATATCGTTATATATCTGTAATAAAAGTATCATGAAAGAACGGCAAAAGAATTATTCCAGTCCACCAAAGGCGGTAAGTGGTTCATAGATATCTTCAAAAAAGAAATGTAGGTAATTCGTCCGATCGTCACACCAAGGGCCCCTGTTCGATTCTGTGGTACATTGTGCAATGGTAGAAGCCCATTTCTGATATCGCTGTCATATAGCTTAAAGAAGCGTGGACTCACCTATTAACTATATACATACTTCTTTGATCCAGTAATACATGTATGTCAAAACTAATGAATTCATTGGGAAGTTGGGGCGGTGGGGTAGCCAAGTGGTTAAAGCGTTCGCTCGTCACGCCGAAGGCCCGGGTTCAATTCCCCACATGGGCGCAATGTGTAACGCCCAATTCTGGTGTCTCCCGTCGTGATATTGCTGTAAAAGCGGCGTAAAAAGAAACCTCACTCATTCACTTATTGGGATGTTAACTGTCCGGATGATAAATTACTGATATCTTCAGTTGTCTTAATGATATATGTATTCCAATGTTGATAAAATATAATTAAAGATATCATTATCATTATCAATTGTTTCAATCCTCAAAAGGCGGGAAATGATGTACAGATTTCTTCAAATACAACTCTACAGGTTCCAAAATGGCGGCAATCTGTAACAGGTGAGCTTGGCCCTGTGTTCACGTCTCTCAAGTTTTAAAAGGAGAGTTGTCGTCCTTTGGAATAAAAGCACCCATTCACGATAGGAGTAATTAGTTGAACTTATCTGTATTTAATTCCAAGATACCAGACATTTAATTACTGATACATTAAAAAAAAGGAATTTGTTTATATCTGCACATGGTGCCTCGGATATTATTAAACAAATATCAAATATCACCAATTCTTTTCATTAATATTGCTCATCATAATCGGGCAGGGCGCCAGAACACAGTCAACACAATTGACGCATTCACCTGGGGCGAGAAGTCCGTG